TACATTGTCATCCGTGCTAGAAGCACTTTAATCCAGACGCTGGCCACCTTGATATGGTCGTTATTGACAGGTTAACGTAGTCTGACTACATGGTTTACGTCATCGGTAACGTCAAGACTAACTTCTTACTTTAAAACTTATTTCTTCCTTCATCTTTACGTTTGAAGCCCCACAACATTTTCACCTGCGATTTTCTGCTGTATAATGCCAGTTATCACTTATGCTTCTCTGGTCTATTCTGAGGTCTTCACAGGAAATTATTTTGCCCTCCTGCAGCGATGTATTAGAGCATTCGCGAAGCCTGACGGATTGAAAATTCCAAAACCGTTGAATAGGCTGTTTGTCACAGGTCTATCTCGCTGAATGGATATTGTAACGGATGTCCCCCCATCCGCTTCCTTTGTCTTGAAGTTCCACTATACGATGAAGCTTCATCGTTCCGAAATCAAGAAAATTGAACTGTGCAGAAAATCAGTGGTAACGCACTTAGTTCATACTCCTATCAGTGCTCGCGTTTTAAGGGGTCCTCTTTACTTTCTCTTGGTATTTAGTAATTTTCTTGCTGTGGTGCGCTGCATATATGCTGACTGAAATTAGAACTATCCATCAGTCTTGTTGCATTGCAAAAATGGCTAAAATACTCGATTTGTGATTATTATCAGAGAGGAAATCTGCTGGCATTCTCCCATCACAGTTCTTTCGGCAGTAGTCATTCATTGTCGTAACTGTGATTCTTTAGGAATCCATTGCTGAAGCCTCTTTTACCGTGGGGTGAATTTTCTTCAGCGACGATGAAGTCACGGCAGGAAAGCGATTTTGGCCCTATTCTGTGGATTCGTCCGGGAGAACAAACGATATCGACGGAACAGCAGCCATCTGCGAAACAGTCAAAGTAAGGTGTAATGTAATGTTGGAGTATTACATATGAAGCGAGAAGTTAAATGGAATACCGGTTGAGAAGTTTCAATCCGGTCAGTGTTCCGAAATCCTCAGAATCTGCAGTTTTTCAAACAAAGATTCCATATATCATTTGCAATATCCTGTGATTTCCATTTTCCTCAAGATACACAAACGAATGGGCTGTTTGATACCAAGCTTCGCAAATCAACGTCCTACAAATCGCTGGAGGTAGGGCAGCAGTAGGATTGGATTATTCGTTGCGCAAATTATTCGCTTTTGAAACGAAATCCCTTTTTCATGTGGTAAATCCGTCTGTTTGTGTTACGTTTATTCATGCATTTTTTTTCGGGTTCATGTGTTTAATACTTAACTCGACACCCGTTCTTGATGCTGTTACGATGAAAAGGCCTCGTTTTTTTTCAAAAGTCGCTCTTTAGTATTCTTATTCTTATTCGTTGACTCTGTAAACTGTTCCTCTCTTTTAATTCGTCAACAGGGTCACGAAAGTTTGCTTATTGTGGTAAAATTAGCCATAAGCGGATCTATACCAAATAGTATTTCGAAGCTTTAGGCCTGCGGACCAGGATACCACGACTTTGGCTTACAGTACGCCTTTGAGACTGAGCAGCAGGCGAGAAGTACTGTTTGAAGACCGTACTCGTCCTCATGCGGATTTCGTCGGTGGTGGCATTACTCGTGTGCCAGTGGCTGCCGTTGGTGTGTTAAAGGCGGTGTGCAACAAAAAGTAGGTAGCTTTTTATTTACTGATAATGTGATTACTATGTTTGTTGCAGTTATATGCTACATAACTCTTTGGTCGTATGCAGGGTTAATCCAGTGATTTAAAGCATTGTACTTATGTCAGAAATAGGGAAATTAATTGTTTAATAAATATTATTTAACATGTTCGATTCCTGGTTCGTTGTTGGGATGACACATGTTTCTTTATTAATGATTACGATTATTAATCAACAAATCATTTACCATTCATAGTTTAGTCATGTTTTTCAGATTACCAGTCGTTAAATAGCCACCTGTAAAATTTAAAAATATAAGGCAGTATTCATAATTAAATAATACTTGCTGCTGCCCTTTCAAACAGCACAAGCACTGTTCTTCATTATAAAAATAAAATTAAGCAAATTTATTGGTACTTCCACGTTCTCTTTTGCTTTATAACTGTTGAATTGGAAGGGCTGCTTCTATGTTCATGTTTTATTTCTTCTCTCATTTTCTTGTCACTCTTCTCTCCTTATTCCTCTTTCATTTTTTTCCTTTATTTCCTTTGCCTTTCCGTCGTGTTTTTCCTACTCCTCCGTATAGAGCAGCAATCACATGGCCGACTTCCTTTTATTTTACTAATATAGTATTTGGACTAAGAGCGAGAAAACCATAGCCTCTTTGACAGACCCACTAATCGTGAGGATCATTACAAGTGTGAATAAGAAGTTTGATGCACTGATTTGTGTGATTCACAGCTTAGCAAAGCATGCTGCAGAGAAACGCGGGAAAATTAAATGTACTTAGATATCCGTTACTAAAGCTAAGGTTAAAGCAGCTCCCTAGGCAACGAGGAGCATAAAGGGGAGGGTGCATGGAGCTGTGGCCTGCATGAATAGTTCAGCTATGTGACTAAGAGCAAGAGGTTGGTGTAATGCGTCGTGAATGTTGATATTATGGGAGTTATGCATAGTTTATATCCATATATCCATATTGTGTACATCGAAACGATTCCATATCCTCCAGGAGACTGTCAACGGCCAATCGGCTTCCCCATGTTGGCCATTTCTTCCTGGTCGTCTTGTAGCAGAAACGATAGTCAATGCGTGGTATAATGAGACTTGTAGATTACGAATCTGCTCACAATTTGTGATGTTCCCTCCACTTTGTGATGTTCCCTCCCCTTGAATGACAAGGTTGTACTTCCAGTCGTTAGAGCGCATGACAATCAGGTGCCATATCGATCCTCAGCACCGTTACAATTATCAACAAGGCAATAAATTACACAACATTTGAACCCGGAAGCCACTTTTCTTTACTCTTTACTCGATTTCACGTTTGAATGCGTTTTGTAACTTTTGTCACTGCTTACATTTAAAATGCGTTGTATGTTGTGAGTTGTGTATTTTATTTCATTCTTGAACGTTGTCTTTGGCAATGAATAATTATTTTTATAATGCAGTTTTAACTTATTGTAAAGGCTGTATATTTCTTAGGCTGAAATTACTTTTATGTTACTATTACATTTTTTTATTGCGTTTATGTGGCCGTTTTGTAGGCTGCTTTTTTGTAGCAGAAACGGTCGAATCGTAAAAGAAGCGGTGTGTTTCGACAGTGCCGACTTTGAAAAATTGGTCAGTTTGCTGCAGCTAGATATCTACGAGCCGCCCATATCTCAGTGTCCTAAGTGGGTCAGCCTCGGGAAGCTGAACCAGCTGCGAAGAGAGGGTATCCGCTATTCGTGTTTCCAACTTTTGGATAACGATGTGTACGTGATACCTCCAAAGGTTATTCATCAATTTCGCACGCTGTCCGCATGTTCTACTATCGCTTGGCACATTCCGACGGCCAGAGACCTGCCCTCCACCAACTCTCCTACTTAGACTGTAGCCTAACCTTTGGTTACGGATGACCCCAAGTCTCATTACAGCAGAAGTCTCGAAAATGCTGTTCATCGATTTTCAAACTCAGAAAGTTGAGGGATTTTGAAGATGCGCGTCGAGAGTTTTTAACATCAGTCCCAGACTAAATGGCCGTTAGGAAATCATCGGAAGAAGATAGCTACCCTGAATACCGTCTTAAGAACTATTTCTCTGCCTTATACTTCTAAATACCCTATGGAAAATTCTCCTGAAAACACTGGCATACTGTGCCTTTCAGGTTCTGGTAGAATTCGTTTTAATATTAGGGTATGATCCTTAATGCCCTAGACTAGTCTGTATGTGTTCATTTGGTATTCGCCGGTCAAGGAAAATTTTTTTTGTCATCCGTCGTTGAACTGATTTTGAATTGTCATTTTCTTGTTTGTTTGTTCCATTAAGTGGTGTCTCAGGGTTTCTTTAAACTGTCGTGATAATGTTGTGTTCTATGGAAATTCTGATTCTTGCGCAGTTCGTGAATTGAAAGTAAAACTTCCTTTACAGCTAAATTCAGAGTGTAATAACATACAAGTAAGATGGTTTGCACTAGATTGATAGCTGAAGAAATTTTTCGAAGCAAAGTGGATAAGAATTGCAGAAGACAGTATTCGATAGCAAGGTCTTGACGAAGCCATCCTCCTTTAATGCATCGAAACAGGCTAATGACTAGAGAATCAAAGACTTCGCCTGGAATATTGTAGAAACAGTTTCGCCGCATGACTTCTCTAAATCTCTCCCATGCCGGTTTGACAGCCATATGTCATGAAACCCAGAGGAGCGTCAAAATTTGCGTAGACCCGAAGGAACCCTATTCTGGAAAATTTAGTCATCATGAAGATTAAACTTTCACAGACCAGAATCTTATGGCTACCGTCGTGAACAGTGAGAGTCTCTGCCCAGCTAGAATTTTTTTGATTCCTGTCTGTACATAGTAGTATCTACAATTTGTCTCGTGTCGAGGACCAGTCAGGCGGTTAGAAGTTTCTCTGTGAGCCGCAGAGTTCCACTGCAAATGGTAACAAGAGTGATGTTATGACCTAGGGTTACAGCATCTTCATCTTCCATCGCCGCTTCTCCTTTCGGGTCG